AACACAAACTCACTCACACACACACACACACACACACACACACCAAACTAAAATTCATTCACACACACACACACACACCAAACTAAAATTCATTCACACACACACACACACACACACCAAACTCAAATTCCTTCACACACACACACACACACACACCAAACTCAAATTCCTTCACACACACACACACACACACACCAAACTCAAATTCCTTCACACACACACACACACACACACCAAACTAAAATTCATTCACACACACACACACACACACACACACACCAAACTGAAACACACACACACACACACACACACACACACACACACACACACACACACACACTCACAAAGGAGAGAGAAGACAGAAATACTGTGTGTGTGTATGTGTTAAAGACCAGATTCCTTCATTTTATGTTTTTACAGAATACTGTCTTCTATTTAATTTTGGTTTTCACTGTCCATTTGGTTTCCATTTTTATTTGTTTGTTTCTGTTTCTTTTCAGGAGCAAAAAAAAGGGGGGAAAGGAGATACAGATGGATCCCAGAATTAATGACAATGTCTAACTGGAGTTCTCTGTGCTGGACACTAAGTTTAAAATCAGCACAGAACTCTCCAGTTAAGCATAACAAATGTAAGGGGGTTTTCACTGGCACTCTCTGTGGCCGTCCTATACAGATCAAATAAACCATGCAAAAACTTAGGAAAATTGTACCTTACTATTTAACTGAATTTCTAAAATATTTAACTGAATTTCTAAAAAAACTAAAAAACACGAGATATTAGACTGTTTCTTGTTGGTAATCTTTCTGTTTATATTTGCCCATTTCCCCATTGAAATATTTGACATGGCACTTAGAGGTTTAAAATTATATCCATCCATACATACATACATGATATATACATATATCATTAAATACAGTATTTTCTTTAGTAAAAATGGCCTTTTAAGGAAAAAAAAAACCTAAAGACAAGACAGGTGGCTTTGCATACACAAAACTAACTCCACCTGAGACTAGGGAGGCAGCTCAGTAGGTGAAGTGCTGGCTATGTAAGCATGACAACTTGAGTTAGGACCCTCTGCATTTTACTAAGAACCTGGGCATGGCAGTATGTGCCTGAAATCCCATTGGTTTGCAAAT